GGGTGGCCTACGGCCAAATTTCAGGTGCCCTTTGACGCTAGCTATGACGGCATTTTTGGCCGTAGTTGACCCTCGCAGCGCTTACGGTAGGCCTACCTTCGCTTCACAGCTGTATGTATTCTGCAGGCATTCTATTGCAAAATCTAGGTACACTGATGTGCGGCGGCACGGCGATAGCATTGATGGGTGGAGGGCAAGCAGGCAGAAAGGCAGGCGGCAGAGCAGCAGCAGCAACGGTGGTAGAACATTGTCAGCAGCAAAGCAAGGCGGTGAGGGAGGAGCAGCAAAAGGAAGACAGGAGCAAAGGAGTCAGCAACGGTGCGCAGCAGAGAGGCAGAAGAAGAGCGGCAACGGTTAACTCAAATGAGGCGGAGCGGAAGCAAGGCCTTCAGTGGCCGTCAATCATCAGAGACGCCGGAGAGGGCCTCTCTGACGTTTCCGATGATTGACGGCGGCAGGCAGAAGCACGTGGAAGCAGCGGCGAGGTAGTGGGGTGGAAGCAAGCAGCAAGGCAGCTGCGCTGCGCTGGCTGGCTGGCTCGGCCGGCTGGCTTGGCCAGCTGGCTGGGCCGGCCAGGTGGCTGGACTGACGGCTCAGGTGTCGGCTGGCTGGGCCTCGCTGGCGGCTGGCGGCTGGCTGGGCTGATTTGGTGGCTGGCGGCTGCGCTGAACGGGCGGCTGGCTGGGCCAGGCAGCGGCTGCTGGCCTGAGGGGGCAGGGCCAGGCAACTGCGCCGGGCGGCTGGCTGACGGCTGCTGGCTGGGCCGGGCAAGTGGCTGGCAGCTGGCTGAGCCAGGCGGGTGGCTGCTGTGCTTGACTGACGGTAGGCTGATGGCTGGCTGGCTGGGCCTCGCTGGGTCTCGCTGGCGGCTGGCGGCTGGCTGGTGAGTGGCGGGTGGCTGCGCTGGACTGACGGCTGGCTGGCGGCTGGCTGGCTCGAGTGGCGGCTGGCTGGTGGGTGCTGGCTGAGCCATGCGGCTGGCCTGGGCTTGCAAGTGGCTGGCAGGTGGCTGGGCTGGTGGCTGGCTGGTGGGTGGTGGCAGGTGGCGTCGGGTGGTGGTGGTAGGAGGGCAGGAGATGGGTGGACGGGCGGGCGGATGGAATTGGCAAAGGGCCGGGTGGCCAGCGCACGCGCATCTGCAGGCCCCTGAGCTGACATAAGCAAAAAGCGGCCATTCTTGGCAGAAGAGGGCCGTAGGGGGCCCTACGGCCCCAAAGGGGCGTAGGAGATCGCCGAATTTGGCCGTAGGTGGCCCTATGGCCATTCTTTAGCGTAGATGACCCCCGATCTCCCGATCACATGCCGTAGGGTGGCCTATGGCCAAAATCCAGGTGCCCTTTGACGCTAGCTATGAGTCAGCCGCGTCAGCCAGCCAGCTTGTGCGCCCAAGCCAGCCAGTCCGCCCAAGCCTGCCAGCCTGCCAGCCACCTTGCCCACCCGCCTGAGCCTGCCAGTCAGCCGGCCAGCCAGCTTGCCAGCCCCCTGCCCTGCCTGCCCTGTCCGCCCGCCCTGCTGGCTGGCTGGCTTGGCTGGCAAGCTGGCAGGCAGGGCGGAAGCAAAGAGGAAGAGCAGCTCAATCATCGGAATCTTCAGAAAGCTGTCTCCGAGGATTCCGATGATTGACGGCCATTGACTGTGCGGAAGCGTCAGGCGGCAGGCAGGCAGGCAGGCAGGCCGGTGGGGCTACGATGTCGGATCGTAGCTAGATCGTAGCTAGGCCGCGCATCAGAAAATCGTACTTAGGATTCGATGCCCAATTTCCGATTGTAGCCTGCCTACAACCTAAATCGGGCCCCACCCTGCTGCTAGCTATGAATCTCAAATCGTAGGTGGGCCCAATTTCGGATTTTGGATTGTAGCTAGTTGTAGGTAGGCTACATCGGAAAAATTGAAGATAGGGATCGATCCCCGATTTTAGATTGTAGCCTGCCTACAACCGAAAGTGGGCCCGACCCTGCTGCTAGCTATGCCGCTGTTGGCCGAGGGCGAGGAGTGTGGACCAAGAGAGGTTGTGGGAGAGTAATGGGGAATCGATGTTGCACCGTAGGATCACTAGGATACTAAGGACAATCGACAAAGGAGCCCTAGTGGCGTGCCTTGTTGCCGCAGCTGTATGCCCAAAGTGCGTGGGGCCGGCCCCACGCACTTTGGGGCCCTGACTAGGCTGCGGCACTGACCCTTGCCTCGGCTCTGGGCTAGCGTCCAAGAGCCGTGGGCCTTTGCCAGCCGAGTCCCAACAGGTTGCTCCAGGGCTGCGGGGGGCCCTATGGCTAAAAATGCCGTAGCTGCCCCTTGAAAAATGGCTGTGGGTGGCCCCATGGCCCCAAACTGGTGCAGGAGATTGCTGTTTTTTTGGCCGTAGGGCTGCCTACGGCCAATTTTTAGTGTAGATTACCCCCGATCTCCCGATTACATACGGTAGGTTGACACACGGCCAAACCTACCTGCCCTTTGACGCCAGCCATGACTGATCCGAGCCGAGCCACCTTGCCGAGAACGGAAGACAGTGAACCGGCGGCTCGGTCTCAGCCGCGGTGCGAAATATGCCGAAGCAGGACTGCTGCATGCATGTTGAGCCCGTCCGACAGGAGTGAGCTCTCCTAACTTTAACTTGACCCTAGCGCTGTTGGCTGTACATAGTCGTAGTATGTGTTGCAGAAAGGCAAAGATAAGGGACAGACAGCGTCGAACGCCTCGTACAGTATAAAGCAGTGCGGACGGAGCGTATGCACCTTGCGGACCGGCCGAATGCTCCCCCTCGACCGTCGCAGCGCCATGTTCCCCTCCAAGCTCCTAGTTGCGCTCTTTGCGCTCGCTTCCAGCCCGGCCATTTCCCAATTCGTACCTCGCCCCACCGATCTAACTCGTAAGGTCGGCCATGCTGGCGTGCCAGTCCGCTACAAACAGGTCGAAACGGGTGTCTGCGAGCAGAATCCGGGCGTCAAGAGCTTCTCGGGTTACGCAGATGTCCAGGACAACGAGCACATCTTCTTTTGGTTCTTCGAAGCTCGAAACGGTGATCCCAAGGAAGCGCCGTTGACCGTCTGGATCAATGGCGGGCCTGGTTCTTCGTCGATGATCGGACTCTTTCAGGAGCTGGGCCCCTGTGGCGTCGACATCAACGGCGAGGTCGTCGACAACCCTTATTCCTGGAGCAACGCCTCTAACCTGCTGTTCATTGATCAGCCGACGACGACCGGTTTCTCTTACGGCGAACCCGTCCCGGCGTACGTCAATCCCAACTCGAGCTCCATTGTCGTGCTGCCTGACGAGTCCTGCCCCGATTACGCGCAAGCGTATGGCACGTGCGGCACTTACTCTCGGCCCGTCACTACGCTGACGGCCAACAGCACCCAGTCGGCGGCGCCCAACTTCTGGCGAACTTTGCAAGGCTTTATGGGCGCCTTCCCCGAGTACTCGCGAAAGGGGTTCAATCTCGCGACCGAGTCCTACGGCGGACACTACGGACCCACGTTTGGGGCGTACATCGAAGAGCAGAACGCAAAGAAGATCAAAGGCGCCATAGACATCAAGCTCGAGACTGTCTTAATCGGCAATGGCTGGTTCGATCCGCTTCTCCAGTACCAGGCCTACTACAACTTCACCGTGTCCCCGGGCAATACTTACGACTACAAGCCTTATTCGCCTTCGCAGGAAGCTGAGCTCCACAATGCGCTCTACGGGCCAGGCAACTGCGTCGACCAGGTCAAGGAGTGCTACGCTCATGGGCTTGACGAGGTCTGCAAGGCCGCCGACGACTTCTGTGCGGCCAACATCGAGTCTCCGCTGGACAACATCGCCAACAGAGACGAGTACGACATCCGCGAGCTTTCGCCAGATCCTTTCCCTTACTCTTTCTACGTCGACTACCTCAACACGCCGAGGGTGCAAGCAGCGATTGGTGCCTTCCAGAATTTCAGCGAATCCTCTCCGACTGTGGGAGCTGCCTTCGGAGCTACGGGCGACGATTCACGCCAGAGCGGCACCATCAAGAACGTCAGAAGGCTCCTCCAATCCGGCGTCAATGTGGTCCTGTACGCAGGCGACGCCGACTACAATTGCAACTGGCTTGGAGTCGAAGCCGTCGCAGAAGGGGTCAACCACGACGGCTTCTCGGATGCTGGGTACGCCGACCTGAAGACAAGCGATGGCATCGTGCATGGTCAAGTCAAGCAGAGCGGCCAGTTCAGCTTTGTGCGGGTGTACGAGAGTGGCCACGAGGTACCCTTCTACCAGCCGCTGGCTGCCTTGGAGCTCTTTGAGCGTGCCATTGGCGGCAAGGACCTGGCGACCGGGGTCGAGCGGATCGGGGAGGGCAGCAAGTATCGCACCAAAGGGCCTGCGAAGAGCCTGTATCGCAACGGCAACAGCACCGTGCAGTTTGAGCCGCTGGATCCGGGATCCACCTACAACACGACGACCAATGGCCCGAATGCGCATCCCGCAAAGGGTAGTGGCGAGGCAAAGTCTGGCACGAGCACGGCCAAGGTGCAGCGGTTCGGGTTTCGTCGACCCGCTTCTAGGCGCATGCGCGCGTAGGCGCTCTTCGGGCCCTGGAGGCTGCGCAATTGCGTGCGCAAAGGGCGAAGATGTAGAGTCGTAGACAGGCAGTCGTTGTATCCGATTGTCCAGACGATCGTCAAAGCATGTTCGGTGTCCTGAACTGGTCGTGGCCATTCTAGCTTCTTTCGTGCGTTGAGGTTTGCTTCCGTCCCCGACGCTTCCGACTGGGGGAAAGACAGAAATCTCGGTCCACGAGGATGCACGTTCCAGGCCCAACCGCACCCGGCTCCGCCAAAACTACTCGAGTCGAGCTCCGCCAACGGGTTCTACGCCTTCCATCACCTCGACCTCGTCTCACACTGATCCTCCATCGCTCAGCAGCAAGGCCAGCTCACAAAAGCAGGCAACCTGTGTGGGTTGGCGGCCACCAACAACCTTTTGTTACCTTGCGCCCCGGTCCAATCGTAGCGCTACAGCCTTGCCTCTGTCCCCCTATCTCCGCGATCGCTGCCGACCCATCGCCGGGGCTCCTCAGCTACGATGGACCCCTGGTCCAGTCCTTGGAGCGACGAAGCCCCAGCTGCCGTCGCAAGCACATCGACGCTCGACTCCGACGTACCGTTATCCGGCTCGGAGCATCAGCCCGTAGATTCGGCCTCCCTTGGCTTCTCTCTGCCGCTGGACTCGTCTGATCCGTGGTTAAAAGATGACCCTCAGCACCTACCTGCCGCTATCGAGCCAGGCCACGGCGTGGCGCAACGTCTGGCGCCATCGGAGCTTCACAAGGTACCCTCGACGTTCCTCGCAGACTCTCGCACAGCATGGGCTTCTGAAGCCGAGACAGAAGTTTCCTCGCTTTCCGCGGTGCCACTGCCCGCAGCAGGCACACCGACCACCTCGCCGGCTCACTACGCCTCCGATGACGGCCCAGATCCCTGGTCAGCTGCAGACTCCGCATCGGCAGGCGCGCTTACTGCGCCTAAGCTCGGGCTTCCTTTGTCCTCGAGGCATCCGTTCAGCTTGCCGGAGCCAATTAGTTGGGACAAAGACGCTTCAAGCTGGCAGGGTGATCCGGATCAGGCCCGTGTCTCGAGCAATCACAGCGCTACGACACCAGATCGGACAGATGGAGTCAGCGGCACGGGGACACTTCCCTCTTGCGACCCAGAATCCTCGGTTCATCGCTCTACAACGTCCGACCCAGCCCATCGCGCGCTCGAGACAGATGCCTGGGCCACCGAGGCCACCGAGCGCGCTCGCTCAGGCGCGCAGCTGACATCGGACGAGCTGAGCCAGCTGAAAGTAGACGCAAGGAGGATGGTTTCGGGTCTGGACGAGACACAGACCTTGGCTGCCGCATTCAAGATGGACCTGGCCGGGGACGAAGGCTGGGATAACCTGTTTGGGGCCGATGGAACCAAGGCCGGTGTCTGGCAAAATCTCCGAGCGCCACCACCAACAGCGTCGAGGGACCAAGACACGACCCTGGAGGAGGACCAGAGCCGCGAACCCCTCGGGACTTCGGCGCTGACGCGAAAGGCCGTCCGTCAGACGGAGGGCAAAGGGGCAAACCTGACAAGCTCCGAGGGAAGCAGCCTGTGGAAGAGGCGATCGAACACGTCACCCAAGGCAGAGTGGGAGACCGGCGTTGCCGTGGGCACCGACATCAACGGCACACGAAATGCCACTGATACGCGAACGCAAGCCTCGGAGCAGGACGGCAAAGGCAAGGCCGGGCCCGGATGGTATCAGGCATCAGCAAAGGAGACCAAGCCCGCTCTCGCTGGTGGCTTGCTCGCCAGTCTCTTCAGAGGTCGTCAGGCCTCATCCACCGAGATACGCAGCCCGTCCGTCAGCGCAGGCACACCTTCACCTCGCGCAAGCACGGACCAGCAACCAACGAGGACATCAACAGAGCCAGTAACGGCCACGATGCCTTCTCCAGCCCTAGCGGCAGTCGCTGCATTCGACGCTACGCAGACAAACACTGGCGACGACGCGCAAGAATACACAGATGATCCCTTCGGGTCCAGTCTGCATGGGATGACACAAAACGAGAAAGGCGTCCCGGCTGAAGACAAGCCCTCTCTCTTGAGCCGCTGGCGGAACCGAAACCTCTTCGGAACCCGCTTGGCTCGACCTCGATCTGGAGCGCCCACAAGCCAAGACTTCAGCGAGGATGACTTGAACTGGCTCGACAGCAAACTCGGAAGCCAGTACACGGAAGAGGGCAGCCTTGCCTACGACAACACCTACGACGGTGCCGACACCGTGGTCGAGCCGACAGGAGCTGGATCCAGCTCGGCGCGATTCGCCACGCGCTTCGGCAACTTGATCGATGGCGACGACGGCAAAACAGACGACAATGATGTTCGGGACAGTCTCTTTATCAGGGATCTCGCACCAACCTTCCCGGTCGGCGAGGGAATCACGCACGAGCACGCGAACGTGCGCCCCGACGGCCATCAGGGTGCGTCTGCAGGCGCCGCCGAAGGACGCGGCATCGTGCGCCCGGCAAGCTCGACCTTTCGCTGGTCAGACCTCGACTGGGACGACGGCAGCAAGCAGCAAAGCGCCCCCAAGGGCATCGCACCAGGACCGGAGCAAGCGGCGCGCGGTACGCCTCGGATCCTGCCACCTCCGCCATCGAAACGGGCTTCTCTGCCTCCTCCCCCGCGCACAAGCCGTCCTCTCACCGCGGAAGCACGAACCGGCCCGTCCAGGATCAACGAGGCGCTGATCCCTGAGTTCGGCGCGGCTCAAGAGGGCCAGCAAGGCGACGGTTCTGCGATGAAAGCTGCAGCGACACCTGACAAGCACCCGATTGCACGGGCAGTTCAGGGAAATTCTCTGACCGCAGACGAGCTAAGCTTCTTTGATAGTCTTTGAACCGCGCGGCAGAGGAAGGCGTTTTAGGCGCCTAGATGTGATGCTATTTGCGGTCTCACTTGATCCACCAGGTACACCAGCAGCAAATCTCGTGTCTACCATAAATCCAGAGTTGCAGCCCCGCCCGGTATGTGTCGAAGCCTTCCACAAAGCGGCACGCTTGATGCGATCTGGCGGTCAAAGAGGCCATCTCCGATCACTTCGATCCCTTGGTCTCCTTGAACAGGACGTGTTGTCTGACTGTGGTCGGTGTGTTGCCAGGAGGAGGGGGGAGAGGGGTCGATGCCGCGTTAGTTTGGTCGATGCATCGAGCGTGCACCAAGGCTCGCCGTTGCTTCACTCTGCTCTGCTCTGCTCACTCTTTGGGTCGAACTTCATCATGCTGAGCTTATCGGCCACCCTTGTCCTCCGGGTCGTGTACATGTACCCGGTGCCGGCGGTGGACAGGAGACGGGCGACGACAACTCTGCCAGCGAGGATCAATGTGGAAGGGAGCATTGGAGTCAGTGACGCTGCAGTGACCTGGCGACGGACGACGGACAGGATCGGGTACGATCTGACGCAGCCGGCAGGCTTCGGAAGCAGCCAGCGGGCCCCGGTGGAGCGAGCTGGGAGGCTGCTGCGCGCCTCGTGAGGGGCTTGCGGAACATCGAAGCGGATCCTCTCACCTTGCTTTGGACTTGGCCGCCATCTTGTCGCGTTTGGCTACGGAAGCGTGTGCAGATAGATGGTGGTCAGGATGGCAAAGGCGGGCGGCGCGGGCAAATTTGGAAGGGAGTCTGGGCCTCTGTGCGATTTTCGGATCCGTGGTGGCAAGCTGGCCTGCCGCCCTAGGCCGAGTTCCGACTTCCGAGGTGGCCATCGGTTGGGCCTCCTCCACATTGCTAGTTATCGACGCCGACGATGACCACCACCACCACCACCACCACCACCACCACCACCATCACCGCCGTCGCCAGTGCCGAAACCCTCTCGACGCTTCCCTCGGGTTGTATTCGTCCGAGTCATGGTGCTCTCGTCCCCTTCGCACCGGGCATGGCGGCTCCTGCAGCTGCTGGGATCAAACGAGTGCTCGACAAGCGCGACGGGATACCTTGCAAATTTTGGCCCCGGCGTTGAAGCCGTTCCGGGCGAAACGCGAGCGTTCAAAGACGTGAAGTATCGCAGCTTCAAGCAGCTGGGACTGAGTCTTCAGTGTAAGCCCGCTGTCGGATGAAGCTCCGAGCCCGCAGCGTCCGCTGATTGTGGTCGGGAGCCTATCTGCTGGCCCTTCGCCACCCCACCCGATTCTCTGCAGACGAGCCAGATGCCCGAGGTCTTCGTGCCGACCAATGCGAGCCAGACCAGTTAAAGCTCATTGCGATCGACCTGTACGCCGAGCCGCACATCGTGCCCTCTTCAGCAGCTGGCAAAGGCTGGCAAGGCTTTCCAGCCCTACCGCTGGCCTTTGCAATAACGGTACCGGTCGCGCGAGACCTCGTCATTGATCGGAACACAGAAGGCCATTCTTTCGTTCGACAGCTGGGCGAGCCGGCACGCAAGGGGGGAGGAGGAGCCGGTGTGGTAGGGGGCATGGGTCCGGGCGCATGGATGGAGTGGCGGTTGACCGCATCCAACGGCGGCGTGCCTGAAGCCGATGACGGCCCCGCGACCATCAAGTTCAGGCTCATGGTAGAGCTCGGAGGGCAGGCAGCCCTGGGCCATGATCGGTGGGAGCCTGACAGAGGAGGCGCTTCCACCTGGAAGACGGTCACTCTGATCTCGGACATGCAGGAGGCTTTCAAGTCGAGCTAAGCCAAGGAGCAAGTGGCAGGGGATGCAACGGCGCGCGGCGCTCGAGCTATGGCCCACAGGAGCCCGGAAGCGATCAGGCCTTGCTGAAGGCAAGCTCCTTTTGGATCTCGCCAATTCTGTCCTTCCACCCATCGACGTCGGCCATTTTTTTCTGCGCACGGCGCACCAGAGAGCGAGGAAAGAATCGGCGCATGAGTCGAGGTGCACTGGATCTGACACCGTTTGATCTGAAAGCTCGTAGTTACTCACCTCGAGGTCGGCAATTTCATTTTCAAGCGACAGCTGTTCGGTCTCGGCGCCGATGTAGTCCGTCTCCCATGCCCCGTTCTCTCCCGTTAGGCGCAAGAGCACGTCGTGGTACTTGAAAAGCGAGGGCCGGTGCGAGATGGTGACAAGAGCTGCGCGAATCGAGCGAGGGTCGAACGATGAGCTTCCCTGAGCCGCGCAGCGGGGGCCGGACAACGCGAAGACAACCGCCACCAGCCGATTAGCCGAGCAGGCGTGCACTTACTAATACCAAGGTCTTTTGCGCGAGCGTACATCAAGCCCTCCACTGCGAGGAAAGCAGAACCAGCCAGACGAGAGATTGTAGAGTCAGTTTCGGTCTGGCTCGGCTGCGAACAAGGCGGGGCGGAGGTAGCGCTCACCATCGGTGGAAACGGCACTCGTGCACTCGTCCAAGATACCGAACTTGGGCTGATGGTAGAAGAGGCGCGCCATTCCCATCTGTGGCGCCGCAGCGTGAAGCGGCGAAGGTCGGGGAGGGCGAGGTGCGAGAAACGCTGTCAGTCGCAGTACCGTCGGCAACGAGTCCACGGCGACGCGAACGAAAACGGAGCGGACCTACCCTCTGTTTCTCGCCGCCGGACAAGACGTCTTTCCACTCTTTGCGAGTCTCCCAGCCGCCTTCTCGCGATGGCAGATAGGCCAGATGGACGTCCTGAAGGATCTTGAGGAGGTCTTCGTCAGTCTTGCCCGTCGCCAAGTGCTCGGGATAGGTGTATGGGTAGATGACTTGGTCCCGAAGGCTGCCCGTCGACAGGTATGGCCGCTGCGGCAAGAAGAAAATGTCCTTAACCGAGGGCTTCTCCAGCTGACCTCGAAAGACAGGCCAGAGCCCAGCAACGACCCTTGCGACGGCCGTCTTGCCGACACCGTTGGGCCCAGTGATGAGGACGTGCTCGCCGGGCTTGATGTGGATGCTGAGGTCCTTGACGAGCTCCTCGCCCCCGCGCTCGAGCCCAGGTGCGGGTGCCACAATGGGGACGTCGGTAAAACGCACGAGTCCCTGGCCCTCGACGACCTTGCCCTGGATATGCCCGAGGTCGTAGAAGGGCTTGTCTGCTGGGAGGTCGGCAGGCCTGGGCATGGCCTGGTAGTGCTCCCTGTTGAGCAGGTGGAGCGTCGAGATGAGCGTGTAGACCCTCGAGGTGAAACCGGCCAGCTCGGCCAGCTCCTTGTAGCTGTACATCAGCCGGCTTCCGGCATCGGCCAGTGATAGGAGCAGGCGGCGGTTCGAGATGTACGATTCGGTCCGTCGCGCAACGCCTCCCTGTCCGGCGCGCGGGGTTTCAGCCCCGGCATCCTGCGGCGCAGCAGGCGTGTCCTTCTTCTTTTCGACTCCGAAGAGGAAAGGCGACGCGATAATGGCGTATCCGGCAGCCGACCAGGCATACTTGAGCACGAAGTCCTCGGTCATGTTGAAGGCCACTCGGATCTTGAAGATGCTGTTGACGTGCCTGACGAGACGCATGTAGGCTCGATTGAGGATACTGGCTTCGATTGACGCACCGTTGTAGAAGCTGCAAGGGTCATGAAAGCGGTTCACAGGAGATAGAGAGCGAGGTCAGGCGATCACGAAGGTGCAAGGGAAAGAAAGCCCACAGGCGGCTGGGTCATGTACGGAGGCCGGCCCGCAAAGACTTACGCAATCTCCTCGGCATTGGTGATGAGGCGGCTGTGCGCGCTCCGGAAGTCGCCCTCGAGCTTGGCCTCGATGGCAGCCAGCTTGCCGAAGGCGGGCGTCACTTTGCGCAGCACCCAACCGGTCACGAGGTAGTTGGCAAACAGGCCAAGCACTCCGCCGGGGCCGAGCGACCGGCTGAGTGCAAAGTTGAAGATGATGAGGTCTAGGACGGGCTTCGACACGTTCGAGTACAGCGCCGAAAGCGTCTCGCAGAACCGGGCGATGTCGGTGGTAATGTACTGGTCGGCCGAGTCGAGGCGTCCATCGAGGTTGATGATGCGGTAGAAGTTTGCCTTGTCGTTGAGGTAGAGGTCGTGCACGTATCGGGTGAGGCGGGTGCGGAAGCCAATGGCCAGCTTCGACTGCAGGTAGCGGATCATCGCGTTGGTGTAGGTGGAAGGGATCGCCAAGAGGAACCAGAGGCCGAGTCCGCGCAAGAAGCCCTTGCCGTTGGCGGAGACAAGGTCGCGGACAATGACGCCGTCGAGCTTGGCGACGAGCATGCTGAGGTACGTGCGGAGCACCAGGAACGACGTATGCAGCGCGAAGATGAAGACCTCCTTCGAATTCTTGCGCGGGATCAGGATGCGGAAGATGGCTCTGTACCCCGGGGCGGTCCATCACGAGGGCGGGGGGCGAGAGGGGTTGGGAATGAGACCGTTAGTACGCGAACACCGGTGATCTGGTGTGCCGTGCGCGCAGGTGAGGAGACAAGGCGGGCCATTTAGACTCACCTCAACTGACGGAAGAACTCCTTGTTGACCCCGACCTTCTTTGCAGTTGCGGCTGCGGCACCGCCTTCTGCCCTCATGGCCTTGGCATCCTCGATTTGCGCCCTTTGTTGGTCATGGCTCGAGGACTTGGACGAGGACTTTGCCGGGAGGCTGGCGTCGGACGTGGGAGGAAGCTGTTTGAACTCGCGGAAGTCGGCCTCGAAGGTCGACTGCCTTGTTGGTCGCACGGGCACGCGCGAGACGCGGCCTCGATGTGGCACCAAGAGTTCTCGGGAGCCGTCGGGTTTGGGTACGTAGACCTGGCGAAGGGCCGCATCGAGGTCCCGGTCCGAGGACTGCGAGGCGCGGCCCCTGCGGGAAAGCGCGTTAGAGTCTACGAGGGCGGCGAGGCGCTTGCGAAGCGCAAACAGGAGTACGAGAGCGGCAAGAGCGACGCTCCTACGCTGCCCGCCCGCGGTGAGGAGGCGGACGAGGGACGAGGGCGAGGCTGCCTCGAGCTTAGATTGTGCCGCCATGGAGTCGCACAGGGTCGGTGCGAGAGCAGGGCGCAGTTCTCTGGATCCTTTCGAGCTCTGCGAACACGAAGTAACACCGAGAGGACCGCCACGTGATGGCCGAGCTTGCCGGTCGTGCGAGGGTGCTGGGAACGAACGGAGCCGGAGAAACGGCAATGGAGCGAACAACAAAGTCGCGCCCAGGAAAGTGGCGACAAAGGCCGGATAGGAAGAAGCGGGGACGAGGGTGGACGGATGCCACAAGTGAGCGGGCGGATAGGTGATGCGGTGGACGGGAAGCTCGAATGGTTGTGACCCGCAAAGCCCAGATTGCGACGCTTCCTTGGAGACCGGGTGGGTGATGGCGAGCCGTGGCTTGCGTGGTAGGCAACCTACCCCCTGGGGTGAAGTGGGCTGCGAGGGGCGCCGCTGATCCTACCAAGGGCTAAAAGGCTGGCTTGCTTCCTGGCTCCTCCCCGCACCACCGTCGGGCGAGACGCGCGCCAGCTTGCGATCCGCCCCAGTCAGCCCAGAGGCCTGTCTGGCCAGGCCCTGCATTTCACGGGCCGGGCGTCGACCGCCAGGCCGAAGCGTACGTGGCTCTTTGCCCCGTGAAATCGCACGCTTGCAGCTGGGAGGCTAGATCGATTACCCTGGGCCCGATTTCCGATTCCTCGGATGACTAATGACTGACACGATATCGGGCCATCCCCTGTCGGGCCCTCTATCTACCCTCTGTCACTCGGCAACTTTTCGGGTTGGCAGGTGCGCCGGCTACATTTCTCTTCTGCCCGCGACTCTTCTAACTGCAGTTTATAACCGCGCCGCACACGACACCGGTCGAGCTTTGTAAGGGCTACCCGTATACCTACATGCCGGCCTGACTTTAGGTCCGTCGAGCAGCGGAAGTACGCGATGACTCGTGGAGGCGAGCTGGTGGTCGAGTGGCAGGCCGGCCGTCCAGTCAGCTTGCTCAACCCTACCTGCTCTGTCGTCGCCGGTTTACGGTGCCCAGCATGTCGCCGGCCTGGGCAGCAATAATGGCTTTTCGAGGAGATGCTCAGTTCTGGCTACCGACGGCCGTGGCAAGACCTGACACCATCTCGAGACACGCTCAGAGAAAGGGGACGTCGTACGTCGTTGTCTGCGCCTCGTTTGCTGCGCGGGCCGGCGCCTTTCTTGACCGGTGTCCCCTCTCTCCCTGCCTCTCCCTCTCTTGTCCTAGACGGATGTGCGTCCAGAAAGTAGCCGCTCGCCTCGATCGCACCCGCTCACGGCGAAAGGATGCACCTCTAATGCTTAGCTTGCTTGCTTCCTCAACACTCGCCTGCGTCCGACCTCCAGAGCCGCCCCTGCACTTCTAACCACCATCACCGCCACGCCTTCTTCCCGCAACCCTACTCGAAAGACATCAAGATGGCCACCGCTACGGACAAGCTCGTCGACTCGTGCTTTGCCGTCCAATGTGGGTCTGGCCGGCAGGGCAAGCCTCGCCCTGCTTTCCGACGCAGACGTAGAGGTCCAAGGCTGACTCCACGAGCACCCCTTTGCCACCTGCCTATCCGTCCACCCTGCCTGCTGCTTTCTCCAGGCGACAAGTGCGGCAAGACGACCTGGAAGGGTTGCGGCAAGCACATCGACTCGGTGCGTCTCGCGGCCCATGCCCCGCGCTTGGTCGTCGGGGGGCCACCCACCCACCGTGTGGCTAGTTGATGCCGTTCATTTGCTGACGCTTCTGCACACGACACACGTCTCTGTTGGCGCTTCATCGCCCTAGGTCATGTCCCAGGTGCCCCCGGAGCAGAGGTGCACCTGCCCTCGCTGAGCCACGCATGCTGCCGTGACGCCGGTCGAATGCTGCTGCGCCTGCCTTTCCTTGAATCAACTGGCGTGGCCTCACTCCGGCTCTGAGCGCGCCTCGCTTTCTGCCGAGACCTCCCCTGCACCACAGAGCATTATTGCAGACCACAGTCTGAGGCTTGAGAGGGGTGGCAATGGATACGATGCGTTCTACGCCTCCTCGTCTCTTCGCTGAACGGTCGTGGAACACGCAGCGTAAGGGGCAAGGGTTCAACGGTACACAGATTGCAAGGCGAGGGTTTGCGCAGCTGCGCGCCTGTCCGCTCAGTTGACGGGCTGGTCCTGGTTGGCGCCATCGTCTTCCTTGATCTTTTCGCCGCCTGCCGTCGCCGGCGAGCGGACAGCCTCGTTTTCGCGATCCTCCTGCGCCCTCATCTCCTGGGCCTTTCCGCTCCACGGCCCTTCGCCGAATGCCACGTCGAGCGCGGACCAAACGTTGCTGACGTAGTGCACCTCGAGGTCGGCGAGCACCGCCTTGGGCACGTCGGCCTCGACGTTGGGCTGGTTCTGGGCGGGGAGGATCACCTTCGTGATGCCCGCGCGGTGTGCCGCCAGCAGCTTCTCCTTGAGGCCACCGACGGGCAGCACCATGCCGCGCAGCGACACCTCGCCGGTCATGGCCAGAGTCGGCGGCAGGCTGCGGCCCGTCAGCAGGCTGGTCAAGCTGGTGGTAAAGGCCACGCCGGCCGAGGGTCCCTCCTTGCCGATGGCGCCCTCGGGCATGTGGAGGTGGACGTCCTTGTTCTCGAGAAGGCTCTCATCGGCCGACTTGGTGATGCCGAGCTCGAACGCGTTGCTCTTCATCCAGCTGAGCGCGATCGAGGCGCTCTCCTTGATCACGTCTCCCAGCTTGCCCGTCAGCTGCAGGCCCCCCTTGCCAGGCATGATGGTCGTCTCGATCGGCATCAGGCTGCCGGACCCGTTGCCGAGGTAGCCCAGGCCCGTAGACACACCGGCTGGCATCGTGCTCGTGTACAGCCTGTCCTTGTGGTACACTGGAGGGCCGAGGTAGTCTCGCAGGCTCTCGATGGTGATCTCCACCTTGACGTCCGGCGGCACCTGCATCGGCCGCCGCTTTTCGGTCGTCACCTTGGCGGGCGCCTCGGGCGGCGCGTCCCGGGCGGGCACCTTGCCGTCCTGCAGCGACTTGTCCGCATCCGCTTCGCTCGAGGGGCCCGTTGGGTCGTCGCTCGTCTCGCCTTCAGACGGAGCAGGCGGTGGCGTGACCGACTGCGAGTTGCTGTCGGCGGTGCCGGCCGCAGCGTCGGAATCGTTGACGGGTGCATCTGCGGCTGCAGTCGCCCCTTGCTTGGCGGCGGCCGCGTCCGTCTGTGCCGGAGCCAGCTCGCCCTCCTTGGGTTCCGGGAAGACGGATTCGCCGTGCTCCTTGACGATGTTGAAGGCAATCTTCCGATAGACCTTCTCCAGCAGCTTCCTGAGCCCACGCACGCCGCTCTCGCGGGCGTGATGCTTGATCAGGAAATCGATGGTCGTGTCGGGCAGGGTGATGTTGGCATTCTCGAGGCCGGACGCCTCCTTGGCCTGGGGCGCCAGGTAGCCGCGCGCAATGTGCCGCTTCTCATCGGCCGTGTAAGACGAGACCTCCATCACCTCCATCCGGTCGAGCAGCGGCTGGGGGATGGTGTCGAGCGTGTTGGCGGTGCAGACGAAGAGCACCCTCGACAGGTCGACGGGAACGTCCATGTAATGGTCGAGGAAGGATCCGTTCTGCTCGGGATCGAGCATCTCGAGGAGCGCCGACGAGGGGTCGCCATTGTGACCGCGGCCGATCTTGTCGACCTCGTCGATCAGGATCAGCGGATTCTCGGTGCCGACCTTCTTCAAGGCCTGGATGGCCTTGCCTGGCATGGCGCCGACGTAGGTCCGGCGGTGTCCCTTGATCTCGGCAACGTCGCTGAGGCCGCCGACGCTGAATCGGAAAAACTGCCGCTCGACGGCGCGGGCAATCGACTTGCCGATCGATGTCTTTCCCACGCCGGGCGGTCCGACCAGGCAGATGATCTTGCCCTCGACGGTGCCCTTGAGCTTGCCGACGGCGAGGAATTCGAGGATGCGGTCCTTGACGTCCTTGAGGCCGTAGTGATCCTCGTCGAGCACCGTGGTGGCGTTGGAGATCGAGTAGTTCTCGGGAGAATGGACGCCCCAGGGGATGCTAGTGAGCCAGTCGAGGTAGCCGCGGGTCACATTGAACTCGCTGGCGGCAGGCTCGAGCGTCGTAAGCTTGTTGAGCTCCTCGTCAAACACCTTGCGCACCGCCTCGGGCATCCGCAGCTCGGCCGCCTTCTCCCTGAACTTGTCGACCATCTTGTCCTTGCCGTCCGATTCGATGCCGAGCTCCTTCTTGATACCCTTGAGCTGCTCCATCAGGTAGTACTCGCGCTGCCGCTTCTGAATCTTGGACTCAACGTCCTTGCTGATCTTGCTCTGCAGCTGCGCATTCATCAGCTCCTTTTTGAGCACGACGAGCGCCTTCTGGAGGCGTTCGCGGACATCGAGTGCTTCCAAGACGGCCTGCAACTCGCCCACCTCGCCGGTCGACACGGCCGCGGCAAAGTCGGCCAGCTTCTCGGGCTCCTCAAAGACGTTGCCTGCGCCCTGCGAGATGGAAAAGTTGGCAATCTGGTCTCGGAAGAGGGGGTTGAGCTGCGCGATGTCCTTGAAGACGCTGATCAGCTCGGCCATGACCGCCTTGATGTACTGGTCGTTGCGCTTGTCGTACGGCGCAGCAGCCAGGTTGGTGACATTGACCAGCGACACGGCGTAGTCCTGGAGGAACGAGGTCTGGAAGGGGGCCGAGTGGGAAGGCATGTCGGGGCTCGACTCCTGCTCTGCGGCCTCGGTGGCGTCGTTCTTCTCCGGCAGCACGCCTTCGTCCCGGGCCGCCTGCTGGATCTCGTGCACCTTGGAGCCTGTCGCTGACCTGGCCGCCTCTTCGTTTGCGGCCTCGTCGCTGATCGGATTGGCCGGACCGGCGCCCTCGGTGCCAGGCGGCGGAGTGGGGATCGTCTCTCCGGTCGGCGTAATGAGCTCGTCGATCCGGATCCTCCGGTGTGGGTAGAGGACGGCCGTGATGCCCTCCTCGTCGTCGGACTTCTCGCCGTCCTTGTCCTTCTTGCCACTGCCGCTGCCAGCGGGCTGCGCGGGGAAGACGCTGGTCACCTGGGCGAATACGCCGACCTTGTGGACCTTGGTGATGTCGGTGATGATGTCGGCATCCTCTTCCTCGTCCTTGAGCAGGAATGCTCCGATGTAGGGTTGGCCACGGCTCATAGACTCCTTGATGGCGGCACAGACGGCGGGATTCTTGATCACGACGGCCTTGTAGAAGCCAGGAAAGAGCGGCCGCCGTGTGATGGGCAGGGCAAGCACTTGCGGGTAGACCGATGGCACAGTGGACCGCGAAATCGAGGTAGAAGAGGATCCAGAACCGCCCGAGCTCGAGCTGTTGGAAGAGCCAGAACCGGCAGCACCCGAGACCGAGCCAGAATTGCCCGCCGATGATGAGGCGCCTGATGCGCCAGACGTCTTGTTCGCGCGAGCCAGCTCCCGGTCGCCATGCTCGTCATCTTTCTCGGCTTCGTTCTCATGTTCGCCCTCGTCTTGCTCGCCTTCCTTGAGGGATGGGACCGTCTTCTTGCGGGGCAGGGCGGTCGAGGTGGAGGTGACAAAGGACCTGGCGTTCCAGGGCTGCGTCGAAGACGGCAGCGCGGGTCCGGTGGCGAAAAGAGTAGCGAAGCTGCGCTCGCTTTTGGCGGAGCTGGGAGCAGCCGGGAAAGCCTTGACGGGCGAGCGCGGCAGCGCTGACTGGAGCGGGGCCAGAGCAGCGACCGAGTAGCGCGAAGGCGGCCGAGCGGCCCTTGCGGCTAGCCGCTGCGAGGGGATCATGGCCGAGCAGAGGGTATGAGGCTTGGCGGGCGGAGCTGGCAAGGCTGTAGGGCGAGGGAGGGGTGAAAGGATCCTAGGCGACGACTCGGTCGGATGGCGCTGGGTTGAGGATCCGTGGAGGCGATGAGCGAAAGAAGAAGCAAACGCAGCGGGGACGGCGAGGACGCAAAGGGCTGCGATGCTTGGCGGTTGGCGCGCGCAGGGTGCGAGAGAGATGCGGAGAGAGGCAGAGATGGAGAGGGAGAGAAGAGGAAAGAGTGCAGGGTGGTGGCTGTCGATGGTAGAAAGGTCGTGGTGGTGACGAGATGCGCGAGAGCCGGGTTCGGATCCAAGGTTGTGGATGGGACGACGTCGGTCCCTTTGTCGGGGGTGGCTGGCCGGCCATACGCCTCTTACGCAACCTCTGCGGTGATCAACCCACCGGCCTGGCGGCTGAGCCCGGGCCCAAAACCGGCCACCAGAAAAGTGGAGCTCTCGACAGTAGTCAGCCCCCGATTTCGAGGAAGGTGCGATCAAGACTTGGCCAGTCCCGATGGAGAGGTCCGCGTCGATCACGCCTCAGGGCCCGCCCCCTCGGCCTCTGCCGACCTGGCCTGGCCTGGCCTGCTATAGCTGCCTCACCCTGGCGCGGCGATGCGGCGTTCAGAGCCGTCTACTGCTCAGGATCTGCTGTAGCCTGACATGCCGCCTACTAGGGAGTAGTGCTACTTACTACTGTACCCACGAGGGACCGCCTGGCCAACGGTGGCGGGGCTGGATGTGAGGACATACGGTCAAGAGACGAGCCAAGTGTGGCGAGGCTGAGCTGAGCGAGAGAGTCCGACCGCTGTCGGTCCAATCGAGACCCTCGCTGGCTGGATGCGCCTGGCCTGAGCCTGGGCCTGGCCTGGCCTGGGCGTCAAGCTCGATCTGCGTCTGGGGAGTCAAACGTGGCGCGCGCCGCGTCCGTCCCGCCACCCGCCTGGCCTGCCTGGTGGCCTGCCCGCTCACCCACCTTCACCTCCAACTTCCACCACCAGTCTTCCTTCGCAGGTTCCGTTGCCCCCCCCTACGCCACCGTCCGAGGTCGTTCGACTCCTTCACTTCGCTTCCTCCTCTCCGCCATCCCCATCCCTGACTCCATCTTCGCCTTCTTCGCCTTTGCCTCCCTCCATCCTTTGGGACCGCTATACGTCGACTTCGACCCACACACCACCCGGTCCATCCTTCCGACCACTTGGCCGTCTTTTGATTCGTACCGACTGTTAGAGACCTCGCAGCGGCCTTCGACCTGCATATACCACGGACAGGCAGGGCATCGTAGTCACCCGAGCCAGTCTCCTTGCAACGACGGCTCGACTGTCCCTCGACAGCCGTGTCCTCCCGCGCAGCACACAACTTGCGCATCTCCCCCCTGCCTCCCTGTACAACCTGAAGCCCCTCCCTGACCGCGCACCGGCAGCGCGAGCAGTCCCGATTCTGCCAACATGGGTATTCCCAAGTTCTTCCGCTTCATGTCGGAGCGGTATCCGCTCATCAGCCAGCTCATCGAGGACAACAAGATCCCCGAGTTTGACAACCTCTACCTCGACATGAACGGCATCATCCACAACTGCTCGCACCCCAACGACTCGGACGCCTCGTTCCGCATCACCGAGACCCAAATATTCCTTGGGATATTCTCGTACATCGAACACCTCTTCTACAAGATCAAGCCCAAGAAGGTCTTCTTCCTCGCCATCGACGGCGTCGCCCCGCGAGCCAAGATGAATCAGCAGCGTTCGCGCCGCTTCCGCACCGCAAAGGAGGCCAAGGAGATCCGCGAAAAGGCCGAGCGACGCGGCGAGGAGCTGCCCGAGGAGGAGGCGTTTGACTCCAACTGCATCACCCCGGGCACCCCCTTCATGGCGAGGCTCTCGGAGCAGCTCAAGTACTTTATCGCCAAGAAGATCACCGAAGACGCCGACTGGCGCAACGTCCAGGTGGTCCTCTCCGGCCACGAGACGCCCGGCGAAGGAGAGCACAAGATCATGGAGTACATCCGACTCTGCAAGGCCCAGCCCGACTACAACCCCAACGTCCGCCACTGCCTCTATGGCCTCGACGCCGACCTCATCATGCTCGGACTGCTCTCGCACGACCCGCACTTCTGCCTTCTCCGCGAGGAGGTCAACTTCGGGCCGGCGCGCAAGAAGGCCAAGTCCAGCCTCGAGCACCAGAACTTCTTCCTCCTCCACCTCTCCGTCTTCCGCGAGTACCTCGACATGGAGTTCCAAGAGCTCCGCTCCACGCTGCCGTTCCCCTACGAGTTCGAGAAGATCATCGACGACTTCATCCTGCTCAACATCTTTGTCGGCAACGACTTCCTACCGCACCTGCCCGGGCTCCACATCAACGAGGGCGCGCTCGACCTCCTCTTCAACATCTACAAAAAGGTGCTGCCCGTCGCCGGCGGCTACCTCAACGAGAGCGGCGTGCTGCGCACCGACCGCCTGCAACTGATCCTCGCTGAGCTCACCCGCTTCGAGGCCGAAAACTTTGAAAAGGAGCACGCCGACGTGAGCTGGTACAAGGGCAAGCAGGAGAAGCACCTCAAGTCGATCGAGGCGGCCAAGGCCAAGGGCAGGCTCGTCATCACAAAGACCCAGCGACAGCTCTTTGACCGGGTGCACGAGTTCATCATGGCCAAGCGTCTCGATCCGGCCGGCGCAGCCTCCGAGCTCCATCTCGCCGCCGACCTCCCCGCCAAGGACCGTCGCTTCCTCGAGGATCTTGCCTCCAGCCTCAAGCTGCGGATCTCGTTCAACAAGACGGGTACGCAGGACACTGTGACCGACAAGCCTCGCATCTCACTCGCCTTCCCGGTGCTCGACGACGAGACCGACGACGACGACGACAACGACGACGACGATGACGACGACAATGACGACGACAATGAGGACCAGACAGAAGAGACCGGGGGCAGCACGTCAGAGGAGCAGCGCAAGAACATCCAGCGGCGGCCCTCGGAAGCCGATGTCGCCGTCGACCGCGTCCTGCACCGCTACCTCAAGGCCAAGGTGGACGACTACGAAGACGACGGGTCCAATGGTGACGAAGAGTTGCAAAAGAAGCTGGACGAGAAGATGAGGACCTGGAAGAAGGATTACTACCGCGAGAAGCTCAGCATCGACTTTGACAGCGCCGACGACATGCACAAGATCGCCTACCGCTACATCGAGGGCCTCCAGTGGGTCCTCCACTACTACTACGACGGCGTCGCGTCCTGGAGCTGGTTCTATGACTACCACTATGCGCCCAAGATTTCGGACCTCAAGGACGTCGGCGAGATGAGCTTCAGCTATGAGCTCGGAACGCCGTTCCGCCCGTTCGACCAGCTGATGGGCGTGCTGCCGTCGCTCAGCAACCAGCACATCCCCGCCGCCTTCCGTGACCTCATGACCGACCCGACCTCGCCAATCATTGACTTCTACCCGCAAAACTTCGAAGCCGACCTCAACGGCAAGAAGCAGGATTGGGAGGCCGTCGTCAAGATCCCCTTCATCGACGAGAAGCGTCTCCTCGAGGCGCTCAACAAGCGCGAGGTCTTCCTCTCGCTCGACGAGCAGCGCCGCAACGCCTTTGGCCCCAGCAAGCAGTTCACCTACGACGAGGACGAGGAGCACTTCCACCCCTCCAGCCTGCCCGGCACCTTCCCGGACATTGTCCACTCTCGCGCCAAGATCGTCGACTTCGATCTGCCCACCCTCGACGGGCTGCATCTCGTCAAGGGCCTGACCGATGGCGTCGAGCTCGGCGCCCGCGCGCTCGCCGGCTTCCCGAGCGTCAAGACGCTTCCGCACTACGCTCGTCTCGGCCACCACGGCGTCAACGTCTTCCAGAGCGAGTCCAAGGGCGTGAGCGTCGTCATTACCGTCGAAAACACCTACGAGGATTCCAAGACGCAGGACGTTGCCGAGGCGCTCGTCGGCCAGCGCGTCTTTGTCAACTGGCCTTTCCTCACCGAGGCCCTAGTCGTCGGCGTCTCGGACAATCTCTTCCGCTACGAGATGGGGCTCGTTGGCGGGGCCAGGAAGGTGGTGGCGAACCCGCACAAGCCCGAGGCCATCAGCGTCTTCCACCGAAAGGCCGAGAAGATCGAGTACCACTACAGCAAGCGATTTGGCGTGCTGATTGGCGATGTCAACGTCCTCGTCCACGTTCGTCCACTCAAGGGCCTCAAGCGACTGGACGATGGCGCATTCGTCAAGGACTACCAGGACGACCCGGCCAAGGAGACCGAACAGGCGCTGCAGCTCGCCGTCGTCGACGTGGTGCAAGAGGACACCCGCTTCCTCGAGTCCCCCGCCAAGCCCATCCGCGAAGAGTTCCCGGACAAGAGCAAAGTCTTTTTCCTCGACCTCAAGGCCTACGGCTCTCCCGCCCACGTCGTCGGCAGCACCGAGTCGTCGCTCGCCATCGAGGTCGCCTTCTTCCCCAATCAGGCCAAGGAGAATGCGATGCTTCGCCACCTGGTCGCCACCCGAGCTCGCTCGCAGTATCTCCCGTCCTATCAGGTCGCCAAGAGGGTCGGCATCTCGAGTCTGGCGCTGTCGAAGCTGACGAGCAGCATGCTCCTCTACCACAAGGACCAAAAGACCAACGTCGGACTCAACCTAAAGTTCGAGGCCAAGGCACAAAAGGTGCTCGGGTACTCGCGCAAGACGGCCAGCGGATGGGTCTTCAGCGACAAGGCCATCGACCTGATCAAGGAGTACATCGAACGCTTCCCCGAGCTGTGCGACTGCCTCACCAAGAAGAGTGGCCAGGACATCACCAAAGCGAGCCAGATCTGGCCCGAGGACCAGGTCGCCGAACGCCTCACCGCGCTCAAGCAGTGGATCAAGCAGTCCGGCGTGCGCGATCTCGAGGCCGTCCCCCTGTTTGCCGAGCAACTCTCCAAGGATACGGTGCAGCAGGTTGAGCAGTTCACCGCCAAGCTGGCCGACACCAGGACGGCGCTGGGCGCTGCGGGCCAGGTCAAGCGTGTCTTTATCAAGGGCATCCCACGGACCGCTCTGCTGAAGCCGAGTCACGCTCCGTTCCGCCTGCAGGCGCAGAAGTTTGAGCTCGGCGACCGGGTCATTGTGGTGGCCGACAGCGGCAACGTCCCGCTCTCCGCGCGAGGAGTCGTGATCGGCATCCACACCAGCCACATCGACGTCGTCTTTGACGTTCCCTTCCTTAGCGGCACCACCCTCGGGGACCGCTGCTCGCCGTACCGCGGAGGCACTGTCTCGTTCACCAGCGTCCTTAACCTCTCGCAGCCGCAGTTCGTCTGCTCGGGGGCTGCAGGTGGCCCCGCTGCATCCAGCAGCGCTCTGGCGGGAGATGCACTCGAGAGGACCTTGGGGCCGATGGCCGCCGGCGGATTCGGCGACGGCGCCCATGCCGGTTCCAACGCGACGGCTAGGGGCCGCGGTGGCGGAGGCATTCAACATGCGGGGTCCTATCGACCTCCCAACGCGTTCACGCCGAACCCTGCCGCTCAGCGAGGCGGAAGGGCCGGCGCGCATGGCGGCCCCGGCGTCCACATTCTTCAACGCCCGGCACGGAACGGCGCCACTGTCCGTGGTGACTTTGCTTTCTCTGGGGTCGCCAGCGGCCAGCATCGTCCCACCAAGGAAGCAGCTGCTGCCGCCGCCGCCGCTGCCAAGCAGAGTGCCTCGATCAATCCGTTGCTCGCGGCCCTCAACATCAATGGCCAGGGCAACGTCGCGAGTAACGGGACCGTTGGCGGCCCCTTCCGTGGGGCGTCGAGTTCCCCTCGCGGGCGTGGAGCGCCTCGGGGTCACTTCCGGGGCGCGCCGCCCAACTTTGCAGGCGCTGGCGCGATCGGCGGACGTCCATTCAATGCGCCAGCTGCCGCCACGGGCTCGGCTCAATCCGCCGCCGCTGGCGCC